AGTGTACCTAATATCTCATCTCAAATATAGACAGATACTGAAAGGGCGAAACGTTGTAATAAAATATGGCGACAAAGATGAGGACAATAGTCCGAATAATGTAAATAGTGTACATAATACCTCATCTCAGAAATATAGACAGATACTGAAAGGGCGAAACGTTGTAATAAATATGGCGACAAAGATGAGGACAATAGTCCGAATAATGTAAATAGTGTACCTAATATCTCATCTCAGAAATATAGACAGATACTGAAAGGGCGAAACGTTGTAATAAATATGGCAACAAAGATCAGGACAATAGTCCGAATAATGTAAATAGTGTACATAATACCTCATCTCAGAAATATAGACAGATACTGAAAGGGCGAAACGTTGTAATAAATATGGCGACAAAGATGAGGACAATAGTCCGAATAATGTAAATAGTGTACATAATATCTCATCTCAGAAATATAGACAGATACTGAAAGGGCGAAACGTTGTAATAAATATGGTAACAAAGATGAGGACAATAGTCCGAATAATGTAAATAGTGTACATAATACCTCATCTCAGAAATATAGACAGATACTGAAAGGGCGAAACGTTGTAATAAATATGGCGACAAAGATGAGGACAATAGTCCGAATAATGTAAATAGTGTACCTAATATCTCATCTCAGAAATATAGACAGATACTGAAAGGGCGAAACGTTGTAATAAATATGGCAACAAAGATCAGGACAATAGTCCGAATAATGTAAATAGTGTACATAATACCTCATCTCAGAAATATAGACCGATACTGAAAGGGCGAAACGTTGTAATAAATATGGCGACAAAGATGAGGACAATAGTCCGAATAATGTAAATAGTGTACATAATACCTCATCTCAGAAATATAGACAGATACTGAAAGGGCGAAACGTTGTAATAAATATGGCAACAAAGATGAGGACAATAGTCCGAATAATGTAAATAGTGTACATAATACCTCATCTCAGAAATATAGACAGATACTGAAAGGGCGAAACGTTGTAATAAATATGGCAACAAAGATGAGGACAATAGTCCGAATAATGTAAATAGTGTACATAATACCTCATCTCAGAAATATAGACAGATACTGAAAGGGCGAAACGTTGTAATAAATATGGCGACAAAGATGAGGACAATAGTCCAAATAATGTAAATAATGTACATAATACCTCATCTCAGAAATATAGACAGATACTGAAAGGGCGAAACGTTGTAATAAATATGGCGACAAAGATGAGGACAATAGTCCAAATAATGTAAATAATGTACATAATACCTCATCTCAGAAATATAGACAGATACTGAAAGGCCGAAACGTTGTAATAAATATGGCGACAAAGATGACAGGACAAAGTCCAAATAATGTAAATAAGATGTACATAATACCTCATCTCAGAAATATAGACAGATACTGAAAGGGCGAAACGTTGTAATAAATATGGCGACAAAGATGAGGACAATAGTCCAAATAATGTAAATAATGTACATAATACCTCATCTCAGAAATATAGACAGATACTGAAAGGGCGAAACGTTGTAATAAATATGGCCACAAAGATGAGGAAAATAGTCCGAATAATGTAAATAGTGTACATAATACCTCATCTCAGAATATAGACAGATACTGAAAGGGCGAAACGTTGTAATAAAAATGGTAACAAAGATGAGGAAAATAGTCCGAATTATGTAAATAGTGTACATAATACCTCATCTCAGAATATAGACAGATACTGAAAGGGCGAAACGTTGTAATAAATATGGTAACAAAGATCAGGACAATAGTCCGAATAATGTAAATAGTGTACATAATACCTCATCTCAGAAATATAGACAGATACTTAAAGGCCGAAACGTTGTAATAAATATGGCTACAAAGATGAGGACAATAATCCGAATAATGTAAATAATGTGCAAACTAACCATAAGAAATTTTACAAGGAAATTGTCGACGATATGCCAGATCAGGACCTATCACACTGCATATCCGTCTCTGAATATTGTCGAGGACCTCGAGATAAACATCGGGTTACCAGACCATATATGGCAATAGTATTCAATGCAAGAACAAATGGTAAATTTGAAGGATGGGCTGGATTAATATTTACATATTGAGAGAAGTGAGAATATAGATATTTGAATAATTAATTACTATCTGAATAATCAAGCCATTAATTATATTGCCAGGCAGTGAATTCTAAATATCAAAAATAAATAAATAAATAATCGGAATTCCTAACTTTAAATTCAAAAGGTCATCGGCATCAATTTGTTCCCAGAATCCCCTCCCATCTTTTTTTCTTCCGCTCTATAAAATCCTTTGTTAACTGTAATTAACCTAAATCAACACATCTCCTTCATCACTTTTTATGTTGCAACGCACACGGTCTATCCGTTTGGAGCAGACCGGACCAGACCAATAATTCACGGAAAATCTCGGGAGATTCTCGCGACAGGATTTCTCCCAAGTGTGCCATTTCTCTTCCCAGACGCCATTTTTATTAGTGTTTCCTGTTTGTGAGATGTTGAGCCAAGAGTTTGTCTTTCGATATCCTCCGAGGCCTGAAATAAACTTTTAACTTTGACCTCTTCAAGATTTTTGTTTCACGTTTTTTTTTTTCAAAGTTTAAGTGTAAACATTCAAACACATATTTGCGGTTACATTCTGTTACTTCAGTGAGCTATATACATAAGGAAAGACACGTAGTTGGATTGAGCTATATCATATAGACAGGCGCAGATAGATAGACATCTATATATATATATATATATATATATATATATATATATATATAGAGAGAGAGAGAGAAGAGAGAGAAAAATGAACATAGTGAGATAGACAGGCAGCTAGCTAGATAGATAGATAGATAGAAAGATAAATAGATTGATAGATTTGAATAGATAAAATGATAAATAAGTAAATAGATAGATAATGAACAGAATGATATATATATATATATATATATATATATATATATATATATATATATATAGAGAGAGAGAGAGAGAGAGAGAGAGAGAGAGAGGAAAATGAAACAGAATTAGATACACAGATAAATAGACAGACATAGATAAAGGGAGATATAAGGGACACACACACAAAAATATATATATATATATATATATATATATATATATATATATAAAGATATATAAAGGGTCAATCACTAATCTTACGGCTCCAAATTATAACCATGGAATATTAGTGTTTGGGCCTTTTATATTATATTCTTGCTCTGTCTTGTATATATATATATATATATATATATATATATATATATATATATATATATAGAGAGAGAGAGAGAGATAGATAGATAGATAGATAGATAGATAGATAGAAATAGTTAGGAGGATTTCAAATAATTATAGTTGAGAAATACTCTGAGTCTAGACTTGATGAATTACTTAACTATAATTATTTCAAATCCTCCTGATTATTTCTATCTGTATATCCTTGCTTGAACTGGCGTCTAATGCTCTGTAGTGAGCGGCTTGGGGATAGTAGTTGTGGCTCGTGGGGGCACTGTCCTATGGGTAAGGGAAACTCGGATGAGTTTCACTACGGAATATGTGATCGAGCGGCGCTATATCGAGTCTAATTTGTTACCTCTTCGTCACCCAGGCCCGTTAGAACAGTTGGTATGACGTTTGTCTGACAACGTATCTGTCCGGGTTTCTCGATAGTGGATGCGCACTGCTGTTGAGTCCCAAATATAGGACGAAACGGCCGTCCTGTTCTTTCTGCATTTTGTTGAGGTTTCTTCTAGTCTCGATGAATTACTTAATTATAATTATCCTTATAATTTCTATCACTTGTATATCCTTGCTTGAACCGGCTTCTAATTCTCTGGATGGAGCGGCTTGGGGATAGTAGTCGTGGTTCGTGGAGGCACAGTCCTATGTGTAAAAGAGGAACTCGGATGAGTTCCACCACGGAATATGTGATTGAGCGGCGTTATATCGAGTCTAATTCTTTACCTCTTCGTAACTGTTCGGGTTTCAATTCTTGGTAGTGGATGCGCACTGCTGATGGGTCCCAAATATAGGACGAAACGGCTGTCCAGCATTCTGTTGAGGTTTCTTCTAGACTCGATGAATTACTTAATTCTTATTCTTCTTATATATATATATATATATATATATATATATATATATATATATATATATATATATATATGTGTGTGTAATGTAATATTATATATATTGACCACTAATATATAACTTGCGGAGATGACTAATGAATCTGATTTTTGACCTGAAAAAACTGATTCTAGCTGGGATCTGTTCCAGCTAGACTATCGAACTCTCAGTCGAAAGGGCAAAATCTCGTACGAGGAGTTCGACCAACCCGATCTCGTTTATGCAGGTTCTACGGGGATTTTTTAACCGAGACTACAGGCTCGGATAACCCACGTTAAACTTGGCCTTGTGCCACATCTACCCTTGTGGGGGTGGGGGACTAGTAAATACTGACAAGAGATGCTGGGGTCTGAACCAGGCCGGGAGGCGGGGTCCTCTCGATCTCTCCTTTTCGGATGCGCACTGCTGATGGGTACCAAATATAGGACGAAACAGTTGAGGTTTCTTCTAGACTCGATGAATTACTTAATTATTATGCATATATATATATATGTTGACCACTATTATATCACTTGCGGAGATGACTAATGAATCTGATTTTTGTACCTGAAAAAACTGATTCTAGCTGGGATCTGTTCCAGATAGACTATCGAACTCTCTGCCGGAAGGCTCTGTCGAAAGGGCAAAATCTCGTACGAGGAGTTTGACCAACCCGATCTCGTTTATGCAGGTTCTACGCGGATTTTTTAGCCGCGCCTACGGGCTCGGATAACCCACGTTAAACTTGGCCTTGTGCCACATCTACCCTCGTGAGGGTGGTGGACTAGTAAATACTGACAAGAGATGCTGGGCTGTGAACCAGGCCGGGAGGCGGGGTCCTCTGGATCTCTCCTTTTCGGATGTCTCTGTTCTTTGTCCCTGATTATTTTCTCTTCAAAATCAGACACTCCGGACTTCACAAGGACGCGCCAGACAGAACGGTCCTCAACAGACTCTTCGCAGGTGGAATAGAGAATGCCACAATACTTCATCGTGGTTTAATAACGTTTCTTTGGTCTGCTTGGCGATTCCTCATCTCCCGGAGAAGTGTCATCTTTGATAATCCTTTAAATATCTCACTCTTTATTTGATTTACGATATCAGTCGTCGTTAATCTCCTTCCGCCTAGCCGTTTTTAATCCTTTCATTGCTGCCGATATCTACACTTAATTTTGCTAATCCATTGCGACGAACCTCTGAAGCGTTGATCGATTTCCTGCGTCGATTCGATGCACGAGGTCTGACTGAAAAGCAACAAAATTTATCGGTTCTTCGATAGGAGAGGTGTCTTCCACAGTGAGTTCTTGCCACAGAGCCAGAGAGCAACTAAGCAAGTCTACAAAGAGATCCTCAGTGCGCGAGAAGAGACGAGAATTGTGGAAGGACAAATCGTGGCTGCTTCACCACGAAAATTCACCTGCTCGAAACGCCTTGAGGATCCGACAGTTCGTGGCCAAGAAGAACATCGCCGTGCTGGATAAACTCTCTTTTACCTGATCTTGTCACGATGCTCAATGAGATCATGAGAAGGCCTGTTTTTAAGGTGTATAGGCTTTCGACAATGCAACTACTCACGACACCCTGGGCATCCGGCAAGAAAAGCCGAAAAGAACATCGCCGTACTGGAAGAATGTCACTTTTCATCTGATCTTGCTCTGTGTGAGTTTTTTTCTTTTCCCGATGCTCAAGGAGACCATAAGGAAACCTGTTTTGAAGGTGTATAGGCCTTCGAGAGAGCTGCAGCCAGGGAGCTGAGGAACATCCAAGAAGAATCCTTGCAGCAGTGCATAGAAGCGTCACAGAGAGGAATGGAAAAGTGCATTGGACTTTAGGGGGGAGTACTTTGAAGGAGAAACGATGTAGTTTTTTTTTTGTTTGAAATTGTAATAAACTGTTTTCGACACTATTACTTTTCAGACGGACATTGTAAAATTGTCATTTGTAATCATTGTATTTTTTTAACTTTTTTTTTTACTTTGTTATCAGCTATTTTCAACATTTGTTTCATTTATTTCTTCATTTTATAATGTTTCTTCTCAGAGGTGTAAGCTCATTTTTATCTCTCTCTCTCCCTCTCTCTCTCTCCCACTCTCTCGCTATCTTTCTCTCGCACTCTCACTTCCTCCCCTCTCTCCCTTTCTGTCTCTCATTCTCTCTCTCCCGTCTCCCTCTCTTTCTCTCTCTCTATCGCTCTCTCTTTCTCTCTCCCCTCTCCATCTATTCCCTCCTCTCTCTCTATCTCTCTATCGCTCTCTCTTTCTCTCTGTCTTTCTCTCTCTCCCCTTTACCCTCATTCTCTCTCTCTCTCTCTCTCTCACTCTCACACGCACACACACACACACACACACCGCCACCTTTTGTTATACGAAAATTGCTGACTCTTTCTCTCTTCAGTCTTTAGGGGTAATTATTTGGTCAAGACTAACAGTACTTCTGATTTGCATACTGAATCTTCCCTTTTTTTACACTAGAGTTTACGCAAGAAAATGAAATTTCGCCATTAAATGACCCATGAAGAGTTGATATGCCGTTAAATAAACTATAAAATATAAATGAAGAATGCTATACGAGTTGTGTTCTTTTTCGGATGACCTGTGAGAGCAGAGATACTGTATTTTCTTGGGCATAGTAATTCAAACGGCATTATAGTGGATACACGTATTTGAAATAGACGCCCCATTTTTAATTTTACTTTAAACCAGTGTGTATTACACTAATTGGGCCTATCACCCTGCGTATTCGAGAAATTTTTATATATATTGTTGTAACCTAGAAAGATCTACTGAAAGAGGAATGACCAAAACTGAGGTTGTAAATGAAATGGTAATCTTTATAGCATCAACAAAATACAATACTCTCCAGCGGCTCGAAGTAGGCAAACCACTTCTAGTGGTGGACTACGTAGACAGCATATTACCCCCATTTACAATAGTGTCCAACGTATTTATGAAGACTGGAACATACACATTAGTATTCATAGGTACTGTATATAACACATTTATAATGCATTCTTATATTAAAATTATTTCCAATGCATTCTCATCGTAAAATCATTTCCAATGCATTCTTATAGTAAAATCATTTTCAATTAATTCCTATAGTAAAATCATTTCCAATGCATTCTTATAGTAAAATCAGTTCCAATGCATTCTTATAGTAAAATAATTTCCAATGCATTATAGTAAAATCAGTTTCAATGCATTCTTATAGTAAAATCAGTTCCAATGCATTCTTATAGTAAAATCATTTCCAATACATTCTTATAATAAAATCATTTCCAATACATTCTTATCGTAAAATCAGTTCCAATGCATTCTTATAGTAAAATCAGTTCCAATGCATTCTTTAAAATCAGTTCAATGCATTCTTATAGTAAAATCAGTTCCAATTTCTTATCGTAAAAATCAGTTCAATACATTCTATCGTAAAATCATTCCAATGCATTCTTATAGTTCAGTTCCAATGCATTCTTATCGTAAAATCAGTTCCAATGCATTCTTATAGTAAAATCAGTTCCAATGCATTCTTATAGTAAAATCATTTCGAATGCATGCATAGTAAAATCATTTCAATGCATTCTTATAGTAAAAATCGAATTTTATATTAAAATAGTTAAATGCATTCTTATAGTAAAATCATTTCGAATGCATTCTTATAGTAAAATCAGTTTAATGCATTCTTATAGTAAAATCATTTCCAATGCATTTCTCATAGTAAAAATAAAATGCATTTTATAGTAAAATCATTTCCAATGCATTCTTATAGTAAAAATCAGTTCAATGCATTCTTATCGTAAAATCAGTTCAATACATTCTTATCGTAAAATCATTCAATATTTTCTTATAGTAAAATCATTTCGAATGCATTCTTATAGTAAAATCAGTTCCAATGCATTCTTATCGTAAAAATCAGTTCCAAGTTATTCTTATCGTAAAATCAAAAGAAAAATGCATTCTTATAGTAAAATCAGTTTCAATGCATTCTTATCGTAAAATCAGTTCCAATGCATTCTTTATAGTAAAATCTTTTTTCAATGCATTCTTATAGTAAAATCAGTTCCAATGCATTCTTATCGTAAAATCAGTTCCAATGCATTCTTATCGTAAAATCATTTCGAATGCATTCTTATAGTAAAATCATTTCGAATGCATTCTTATAGTAAAATCAGTTCCAATGCATTCTTATAGTAAAATCAGTTCCAATGCATTCTTATCGTAAAATCAGTTCCAATGCATTCTTATAGTAAAATCAGTTCCAATGCATTCTTATAATAAAATCAGTTCCAATGCATTCTTATCGTAAAATCAGTTCCAATGCATTCTTATCGTAAAATCAGTTCCAATGCATTCTTATAGTAAAATCATTTATAATGCATTCTTATAGTAAAATCAGTTCTAATGCATTCTTATAGTAAAATCATTTCGAATGCATTCTTATAGTAAAATCATTTCCAATGCATTCTTATAGTAAAATTAGTTCCAATGCATTCTTATAGTAAAATCAGTTCCAATGCATTCTTATAGTAAAATCAGTTCCAATGCATTCTTATAAAAAAAATCAGTTCAATGCATTCTTATAGTAAAAATCAGTTCCAATGCATTCTTATCGTAAAATCATTTCGAATGCATTCTATAGTAAAAATCATTTCGAATGCATTCTTATAGTAAAAATCAGTTTCAATGCATTCTTATCGTAAAAATCAGTTCCAATGCATTCTTATAGTAAAATCAGTTCAAAATTCTTATCGAAAAATCAGTTCCAATGCATTCTTATAGTAAAATCATTTCAGAATGCATTCTTATAGTAAAATCATTTCGAATGCATTCTTATAGTAAAATCAGTTCAATGCATTCTTATAGTAAAATCAGTTCCAAAATTCTTATTTCAGTTCCAATGCATTCTTATAGTAAAAAAATGCATTCTTATTAAACCTGAATGCATTCTTATAGTAAAATCAGTTCCAATTTCTTCTTCGTAAAATCATCAATGCATTCTTATAGTAAAATCATTTATAATGCATTCTTATAGTAAAATCAGTTCCAATGCATTCTTATAGTAAAATCATTTCGAATGCATTCTTATAGTAAAATCATTTCCAATGCATTCTTATAGTAAAATCAGTTCCAATGCATTCTTATAGTAAAATCAGTTCCAATGCATTCTTATAGTAAAATCAGTTCCAATGCATTCTTATAGTAAAATCAGTTCCAATGCATTCTTATCGTAAAATCATTTCGAATGCATTCTTATAGTAAAATCATTTCGAATGCATTCTTATAGTAAAATCAGTTCCAATGCATTCTTATAGTAAAATAAAGTTCCAATGCATTCTTTATAGTAAAATCAGTTCCAATGCATTCTTATAGTAAAATCAGTTCCAATGCATTCTTATAGTAAAATCAGTTCAATGCATTCTTATAATAAAATCAGTTCAATGCATTCTTATCGTAAAAATCAGTTCCAATGCATTCTTATAGTAAAATCATTTATAATGCATTCTTATAGCAAAATCATTTCTAATGCATTCTTATAGTAAAATCATTTAAATGCATTCTTATAGTAAAATCATTTCCAATGCATTCTTATAGTAAAATCAGTTCCAATGCATTCTTATAGTAAAATCAGTTCCAATGCATTCTTATAGTAAAATCAGTTCCAATGCATTCTTATAGTAAAATCAGTTCCAATGCATTCTTATAGTAAAATCAGTTCCAATGCATTCTTATCGTAAAATCATTTCAATGCATTCTTATAGTAAAATCAAAATGCATTCTTATAGTAAAATCATTTCAATGCATTTCTTATCGTAAAATCAGTTTCAATGCATTCTTATAGTAAAAATCAGTTAAAATTCATTTAAATGCAGTTCTTTGCATTCTTATCGTAAAATCATTTCGAATGCATTTTATAGTAAAATCATTTCGAATGCATTCTTATAGTAAAATCAGTTCCAATGCATTTTATAGTAAAATCAATTCAAAATGCATTCTTATCGTAAAATCAGTTCCAATGCATTCTTATAGTAAAATCAGTTCCAATGCATTCTTATAATAAAAATCAGTTTAAAATGCATTCTTATCGTAAAATCAGTTCCAATGCATTCTTATCGTAAAATCGGTTCAATGCATTCTTATAAAAAAATCATTTATAATGCATGACTATTATAGTAAAATCATGGTTAAAATGCATTCTTATAGTAAAAATCATTTCGAATGCATTCTTATAGTAAAATCATTTCCAATGCATTCTTATAGTAAAATCAGTTCCAATGCATTCTTTAGTAAAAAAAAAGTAAAATGCATTCTTATAGTAAAAATCAGTTCCAATGCATTCTTATAGTAAAATCAGTTCCAATGCATTCTTAAAATCAGTTCCAATGCATTCTTAAATAAAATCATTTTGAATGCATTCTTATAGTAAAAAATTTCAATGCATTCTTATAGTAAAATCAGTTCCAAGAAATTCTTATAGTAAAATTTTTTCCAATGCATTCTTATCGTAAAATCAGTTTCAATGCATTCTTATAGTAAAAAAATCAGTTCAATGCATTCTTATAATAAAAAAGTGAAAATGCATTCTTAAAATCAGTTTCAATGCATTCTTATAGTAAAATCATTTCAATGCATTCTTATAGTAAAATCATTTATAATGCATTCTTATCGTAAAATCAGTTCTAATGCATTCTTATAGTAAAATCATTTCGAATGCATTCTTATAGTAAAATCATTTCCAATGCATTCTTATAGTAAAATTAGTTCCAATGCATTCTTATAGTAAAATCAGTTCCAATGCATTCTTATAGTAAAATCATTTCCAATGCATTCTCATAGTAAAATCAGTTCCAATGCATTCTTATAGTAAAATCATTTCCAATGCATTCTTATAGTAAAATCAGTTCCAATGCATTCTTATCGTAAAATCATTTCCAATGCATTCTTATAGTAAAATCAGTTCCAATGCATTCTTATAGTAAAATCATTGCAATGCATTCTTATAGTAAAATCATTTCCAATGCATTCTTATAGTAAAATCATTTTCAATGCATTCTTATAGTAAAATCATTTATAATGCATTCTTATAGTAAAATCAGTTCCAATGCATTTTATGTAAAATCAGTTCCAATGCATTCTTATAGTAAAATCATTTCAATGCATTCTTATAGTAAAATCATTTCCAATGCATTCTTATAGTAAAATCATTTCCAATGCATTCTTATAGTAAAATCATTTCAATGCATTCTTATAGTAAAATCATTTTCAATGCATTCTTATAGTAAAATCATTTCCAATGCATTCTTATAGTAAAATCATTTCCAATGCATTCTTATAGTAAAATCAGTTCCAATGCATTCTTATCGTAAAATCAGTTCCAATGCATTCTTATAGTAAAATCATTTATAATGC